GCTAGAGAGGCAGACAGAGGAAGACGGCACAAAGCCTCCAATTCTGCTTCCTCACTGGAAGCGACGGCTCAGTAAACCAGCTCACAGAATGGCTCTCGGTTAATTAAATTCCAGCTTATAAGTGGTGCTTTGGGAGAGAATGTGGGGAGAAGAGAAAGGGGTTGGGGTGGGGGAATAAAACAGGTTTCTGCTTGCGAAAACAGTCCTGGCCTAACACCCCATTTCTCTCTTCCTGTGCTCTCTCAAGGCTCTAAGCTGCATCTTATTTTGCGAGCGGTGCTCAGTCTTGTTAGCCGCTAAATTGATTGCGTGTCAGAGGTTAATGCAGGTCCAGCCCTGTGCCGAGATTTGTGAAGGGTCAACCAACAGCAGGAGAGAACAGCGCTACAACCGCCAGACAGATTGACAGAAATATGAGACATCAGGTAGAAAACCTAACACAGACTCTGAGCAGTCTCCCATTTATCAAAATCTGTTCTCTAAACAGTTGTTCCCAAAGGATCAGTTCCCCACACAGGCACCACAGTGGACAGTTTGTCCTCCAAACGCTGACAGCTCTCCCGGGAAGGTCCTGTTAAATCACGGCACACAGAGACAAACAAGCAGATACAAAACTGTAGATGCAAAAGAGGGGGCGCTGAAGGCTGGAACAAATGGTACAATGCACCGTGCGACTCCACCACACAGCGTGCTATGGAACAACGGACCATTTAATCTATACAAACACAGCTCGAAAATGAGTCTGTAAGGAAAGGGGAGCTTGGAATAAAAATATTTTCGATCAATCCAACTATTCTTTTCCCTATAAAGACTTCACAAACCCAAATGAAAACTCTCCCTTTCTCCTATACTTTGCCACCTGACAACATCGCCTGCACTTCACTTCCACGCTACATCTCTGGATGTTATATGGGCTGTCTCCTCCTGCCAAGAGAAAATATAGCAATTTGAAGCAGCTTGTTGGCTGACACATCGTAAAGAGAAATAAAAAAACTCCATAGCAGTTGTCACCTCAGGGAGATGAACAACTGCAACGCAAGGGGATTTCAAAAGGGGCCTGTCAATCGGCCAGAGTGACCTTGAGGGACTACACATATTGGGAAAGCAACAGGGGCGTCGGGGCACTCGAGCCACTAAAGCGGGGTGGGTGCAGCCGTAACCACAAGGGTGGTGTCAGTTTTCTTCCGCCATGGAAACAGCTGTGTAGACATGCACGAAGCGAAGGGTGGGTGAGGGGGACTGCAGCTGTTGAGAGGGTATACTCTTGAGAGATGGACAACTTGGGAACGTTTCAAGCATTTAACTGGAACCAGTTATATTTGTTGTGTTTATTGGGCTCATTTAAGTCTGACAAAAGCAGGGAATTTCAGAGTTAGATTTAAGCTAATGAAACAGTTTGCACTCGGAAGAGAATTGCCGTCATTGTAATTTTAACAATATCGCACAAACACTTTTGTGCCTCCGGAGACTTGTTGACAGATCAGGACTTAACTTTATCTCTCTTTGGCATTTTTTATAACCTCACGAGGACTGGTTATGTTTCTACCTCTGCTTGGGAATTAATAGCTTTTCATTTAGCATCTGCTCTCTCCTCTTCGCATTCAAAAAGACACAAGTGTTTAACGAGACCAAGAAGTCTCCTGCAACACACAGAATATAAAACTACACACACACACCAAACCAGATAAAATAACTTTTCTCGTCAACAGTTCACACCACAATACCACAAGTTAACAATTCCCATCTGGAGACTATCCATTCCTGTCTGACTGGAAATGGAAGTAAAGTGTGATGCTTATCTTTACTGCAGGCCACAGAAAAGACTACAGAAACAAAAAATGTTTCATTCATCAAAAAAAATGTTTTACATACATTTAAAAAACTTTTCTGAGCTTCAGGATTTGCAGCACCTGACAGCCTAACAATGCAACACTTTAAAAATAAGACACACGTGACAGCTATTTTTAAAAGTTCTAGGTCAAAGGTGTGGGCTATTTCTTTAAGCACTGAGCATTCTGTTCTCCTTTTCGAGCTTATTGACTGGATTGTGCTTTCTGTTTTACTCTAGGTGGGAATTTCATCAGTATGGGACACAAAGTGGGGGGGAAGGTGGCCCCGATAATCACATGAGAGCTTCAGCCCCTTTCAAAGAGTAAAGCAAACCAAACCGCCCCTAACTGGAACCAGACAGTGAGACACTCTGCTCTGGGGTGGCTTTCATCACACACACGCAATACTATCGGCAGGGTGAAGTTTGGGCTGGTGCTGTGGAAACGCTTGTAAACCTCAGACTTCTGTGGAGGATTGAGACTGGAGCTGGGGAGTTGGAAGTGTCCCTGCCATGGAACATTTATCGGTTGAATGTGGCACATGAGCAACAGACCGGTGCTTCATTACAAGATTGAGCTACAGCAATAACAATCTTTATTTATTTATAATAACAAACATGTTTCTCTAAAGCCACCCAATTCAATCTACAGCCCGACAACAAACTAAATGTTAAAAAAGCTTGTTCTCTAAAGTAAAAAGTGGCCAGTGAATCAATTCCACCAGCAACATCAGCTAAATTACTTATTTTTAAAGTGAAGCAAAAAATAAATCTGGGAAATCCTTAATGGTCAAAATTAGAACAGCCGTATTTACACCGTACAAATACATGTTACACGCACTTACTGCTCCCGCATTGAGCACAGTGCATCTCTGCATAGGGCATTGTTTTTTGTCCCCAGTTTGGTGGAATAAAGGAAAAGGATAAAGCCAAAATGCAAAAAAGGTGACTATGGGACTACTTTAAAATGTGAGAGTATTCACACACAGGAAACTTGAAAATAGCTTAATAGCTCAGCCGTGTTGGAAATGTTCAGTTTCTTTTAACGTGATTTGAAAACGTTTTTTTTTTTAGCAATAGGATATCCCTGAGTTTACAGTTTCGCCCATCACTGCTGCACTTTTGGTTATTCTGGTTTGGATTTTTTTATTTTATTTTTTAAGTTTCGCAAACAGGGAAAGCCAGTAAGTGTTGTTTTATTTTAAAATCACTGCTGATCACACAAACCTAAAACATATGTATTGCCTTAAGGGTTAACTTTAATTGTGTGCAAAGAGCTGCACGGCTGAGTTTTGGAGTAAAGGAGAGGGACACACTGTGCATGCATGATACCCTTTCTTTACTTTATGTCAATAGGGGCAGGGATTAGCCAAAAAAGCGAGCAGGAACAAAAAACATGTCCGCTTCCTCCCTATTTCTCCTCTCAATAAAAAGCCCAAAACTTCCAATTGAGCTCAATAAACCAATAAGTATTTGAAAAACGAAAAATTAATTCCTTTATGGTAGGCATAAGTGGGGTGTGGAGTGTGATCAAACTTTATACTTGTGTTGACAAACTGAGTGCAAAGAGAATTATATCATCAAACAAACACGGGAATGTGTCTCTTTTTCCAAAACACGTGTTCTGCTCAGCTCCTTAAACTTCTGCCTGCCTCAACCTGAATCTAACGTGTGTGCCATGCAATGGGCAAATTAGATGAAAAACAAATTAGTAGAAAAACAACATTCAGGTTTTTAGATAAGATCAACTTCATTTGGTTATGGGTATTTATATTATACAAATGTAACTTTATTTTTATAGCAGTGAGGAAGGAACAAGTCTGAGTGCTTTGTTTATCACTCATCAGTGAAGCAAGACAATCTCTGCAGACCGGTTTGGCAACTACAAACCTACTCATCCAGACATGCAACCGAAACTATAAAGTATGCACTGTTCCGTATGTCCAATCGTGTCTATAAAAAGAAAAGTATTCAGATTGCCTATTGTTTTTATTCACCAGTGTCATGGTGTCCAGTCGGATAGTACCCACAGGACGGGGACAGTCTGCCAGGGGGCTGTGGCGCTCTCTAGTGTCCCCAGCTCTGTTACATAAAGCATAGGTCCAACCTTCCGTTTAGACCAGCTTAAGCTATTGATACTATCAACATAAACGTTGAATAAGCCTCGTCTATCAGCGCTTGTGCCAAGATCGGCGACAAAGCGTAGAAAACACCGACGAGGAAGAAATCCCGTCTGGACGGCGCCGCCGCCGACAAAAAGGCGACGCAATTTTTAGTGAGGCACGCTTGAATGGCAGAAACACGACGACTGCTGCAGCAAGGAGATGTAACAGATATACCCTTGCTTTAAGGGAAGTAATGTAGTAGATGTGTGAGGGAGACAATAAACGGTGCCCTTTTTAATGAAAAAGTTAGACCGTTGGAATAATCTTCGTACACTCCTCCCAGCAGCAACTCACTGGCCATTGTTTGGGCAACAAGCAGACACATTCCTCCGTGCTTTAAAGCTCGGCCGCTGGGCAACAACTCACACAACCCTCACTGCTAAAATAAAGACAGCAAAAGACAACTTTTGTAACACTTCTAGACATGTGTCTAACACGTTCTTTTCACGGGTTCAGTCTCTATTTAAAAGCTAAGTTAACGCTACGCTCTTCGGTTCCTGAAGAGTTCAACGGAATGTAGACACCCAGGCACGCTAGCTAAAAATGTGGCTAACCCGAGCTAAAACTGCTGAGGAACATGTGGAAACAGGCCCCGTCCAAATTAACTCAGACACGGTTTGGATACACCTAAAGAGTGGTTAAAAACCTCTCCGTTGTTAGATTGTGTTAATACAATGATAGTGATAGGCATTTCTGGTTTTTGGAAGAGAGATAAAGTTTTCGTCTAGTCGCCATAAAGTGAGGAGTGCAGAAACAAACTCCGTGGTGTTAGCAACTCAACTTAAAATCCCCCACCTCGCTGTGGTTTTAGGGTGAAACAGTCACCAGTGTTACAACTGGGTCTCCTGTTGGGATGTGAGGGGTGTTGTGAGTGTTATTTTTGCCTGCCTAGGACCGCATATTGTGTTGCCAGTGTGCGTACGGGTCTCGCTGCAGCACGGACGCCCAGCGAAGCCGAGCAGATATCGGACCGCACCGTGGTCTCTTCCCCCTCCCCGGCCCCTTACCTTCATCAAGAAGCCGTTCCAGGTGTGTGAAGATGCCGCAGAGATTTGGCAAGCTGGTCATGAGCTTCTTCTCGTTTAATAATTGCATCAAATAGTCGGGACTCGGCCTCGGTCGCTCCTTCACTTCGACCTCTCCGACCATCATCTTTGCGGCGAGAGCGGAGAACAAACCACAGTGAAACACAGAATCCCTCTTTTAGGAAAAAGGAGAAAAAAAAACGAAAAAAAAAAACAAAAACTTGCGGCTCCAATCCTTCGCTTCCCTCCTTGTACTGAGAAGACTCTGTAAACCCCCCTAAAATGCAGGTTTGGTTTGTTCTTCTTGTTTGAGTGGAGCGGGGGCAAAAAAAGAAACCGTTATCTTCCTTCCAGAGACTCGTGCGCCGTACTCTCCTATACGCCGTGTGCGCTCGGGGACGTTCGATTCCACCACTGTAGGCGCGAGCGACTTTTCCACCGGAAAGGCTCCATCCTCCTCGTCGGCTATTGGCCAGTGGGGCTTTCGGGGGACTAATGGGAGAACCAATGAGCGCTCAGATCCGAGCCAGGAGGGCGGGGCAGGCTGAATCGTGAAATGAAGGACAGACATTTGAACCAATGTAGTGCAGTGAACAGGCATGCACATAATACCCCTGAAGTGTTGTCAACACAGAAAAGCACACTTCTTTATTTCTTTTCCTAACGAATATAGATATTATATAACTTTAACATTTTTAGACTCCAATAAACTATCTTTGCCCTAACAGTATGGCGCTGTCTTGGTCTCATGACCACTGAAGGCAGTAGGCCTACTCGTGACAATATTGTGAATAAAAAGTGGAGAAGGCTGAGGTTTTATTTGTATATCTTTGTTTGTTTTATAGTTGCCTGTATATATAAGTTTTGATTTTCAACACTAAAATGTTACATCTCTCTTGTATTTCAGCTCTTTTTTATCTGTGGGAAAAAAATCAGCTGCTCCATTAAATAACCATTTTTACCCGTTCCAACTGGTTTTATGTTGCCTCACTTCCCCCCTCCTTGTTACACAAGATCAGCAGCATTATCCTTCATGCTGTCGATCCTGTGTGAAAACAACATTCCAGTTAGTATTTAAAAGCACAGAAGTTTATTTTGTCACATACATTTTGCAAGGTCTAATTCTTGTTTAGAAATGACCTTTATGAGTCTACCAATCTGTTATGTTTACTAGTAATCCGATGTAAGTAATTGGTGGGTTGAATGAGGGTATTCAGTTAGGAATTGCATGTGGAAGATTCATGTTAGGTTGCCAAAATATGAACAAATAATCAACCTGTGCTGTCCACAACCCACAACCTATATTTTGTTACTTGTGACCTGTAGCTACATCTTGTTATCTGTCTTGGGACTGATTGATCAACGTTCCATTAATCAATAGAGCCTTTTCATTGTGCAGTCCTTGAGAGGACCTCTCTCCCCCGAAGATTAACATCCCTGATCAATGGAACACACACAAACTTGCTACCTCCAGTTCTTCACATCCTGCTTAGTGTGAAAATAAACCACAACTGGTATGTTTTGATTTGAACAGCTGTTGGGCTGAGAGGGGCCCTGCTAAATATGAGCCCTGACCTTGGCCGCCTTTTAATTTGTTTGTTACTGGTCACCCACTCATGTCTTTGTCAAAGTAGTCCTCCTCGGGTGCATGAATGCTCCAACAGCTGCACTATGACCTTCTGGCAGCAGATTGTCGCCACTGTGTTGGTATAGAGAATAGTAAATTAAGTCCAAGCTCTCAGTATTAATGCAGCATGTCCAATATATTGATCAAAGAAAACTAACTAGAGAAGGTAATGTCTTGGGACAAGTTTAATTGGACTAAAATTGTGTCTTTGTGTAATTAACTCAGAAGACATACGCCTATGCCACACACGTACAACATATACAAATTGTTAAGTTGCTTACACACAAAAAACCACCACACACAAATCCCCAAAGAAATATTTTCATCTCTCCTCCGGACCTGGATAACAGCATTTGGCAGTGCAGCGAGCAACAGGAGCCTCCACATCAAAGCAGGAAGACAGATGCAGTTGCCTTAACAACCAATACAACACATTTACTGGATCCTGCTGTTTTGCCCTTCATCCGCCCTACACATACAGCTTTAGTATGGTATTGCTATAAAAATATTGTCAAACCTAGGTTGAGTCTCAGACAAAGGGTTTAAATTAATCATCATTTCTTAAGTTTCTTTTTCAATTTGGACTTTTGTTGGCAACTGTCCACATTCAGATTTAAATGTTCCTCCGGTGAATTTAATAGCTCTAAACCAGAAGCATTTACCATTTAATTGCCACAATGTAGCATGTCTATGCAGGTCTGTTAAAAATAGACTGAAAATAGGCAATCCACTCCTTTTTTTAACTGTCACTCAAAGTTCATTTGAGTCATTTTCTTCTTGTGGTTTGAAGAAAACTACATTATTTGTATATTTTACAAGTACATTAATTATTATCGCTGTTCATTTAGTTTATATATACATTCACTTCTACACACGCCACTTAGCATAGCACCCGAACATGGGCGAAAATTATGTTTCATGTTTCCATCACTGCCTAAATACCTCTGATAACTACAGATTCATTTAGCACAGGAATTAATGCTGACCTTTCCCCCTAAAGACAAAATCCCGACATTAGATAGTGGAAAGGGATTATTGTGTAGTGGGAAAGGAGCTTTAATAAGGCTTCTGCATAATGGCTTGTCAGATGCACCTTCACCAAAAACACAGGACATGTTGGCCAATATTAGTCCCGTCATCCAAATGGTCTCAATATCAGCGTGACATCTTAAAGCCAGAATGATAAAACATCCCTTGAAGTCAAACACTGGTGGATAAGAGAGATATAGGCAGTGGGAATGAGGAACCCCATTTTTCATGTGACTTGGAGATTGCTAAATTGTTCATGGTGTCGACTTTATGTTTCTTTTTCATTTTTCCTGCCTTATTCTTAGTACCGGTATATAGGCGCCGGAAAAAGTCACAGAGTTTCTTGCATCAAAAAGAATCTGGCATTTACTCCGAGCTTTGAAAATGGGTTTGGTTTTTATCTCAACGGTGTGCATGGTAATTTGTACCTTGCCTAGTGCTTTTTCTTCTGAGTTGGGTCACATACAGTGCGTGTTTGAAATACAGCGTTAGAGATAGAGACGCAGCGTTAGCCAGAAAGAGCAAACTTAAATGTGTGTGTGTGTGTGTGTGTGTGTGTGTGTGTGTGTGTGTGTGTGTGTGTGTGTGTGTGTGTGTGTGTGTGTGTGTGTATGTGTGTGTGTGCCCGTGCATGCTTGTGTCTTATGACAGCCCGAGAGTAAACAGAAACGATATTAATCCCCCTTTTGCTCCCCCTGCCCTTGTGTTTTCGTCATTTTTAATAACACGGTTTCTATTCAACAATTAATCCAATTAACAAGATCCAGATAATTAATGAACATGCGTTTAGCCCCTTTTGAAGAGAGGCTGTTAGCTCACTCACAATGAGCTTAGAAAGTGCCCTGGGTTTTCAACTGAAAGTATGCTGATGGAGACAATGGGACCCTCAGTAGGGTCCCTGTTGCTGGATGTAGCCCCGGGGGCCACAGCCGCAGGAAGGTGAGTGGGAGCTGGTGAGTTTGTTGAGGCACGGCTGTCTGCGATAACACCAGTTGCTCTGGAGGAGGCAAAGAAAGGCCCACAGGCTCTGATAACCCGCATACATACAAACAAAAACAACATCTTTCCTTTTTTTGTAGTTTGGGGACTGTGGGGGAAAAAGTGCCAGCAGAATCTGGGTCATTTACAATTTGAGGAAGGTGTGAGCACAGCGCAACAGAAATATATGTCTTTCTAGCAACCACAGCATATACAGAGCCTATAGAGAGAAACACATAATGTAGCTATAATTCATTTTAACTGTATCATAAGCATGACATGACAAATACTCGTGTTCATGCACTGTTGCCTTCATGCTTTTTTGTGTGTGCATTTGTTATTGTCAGTGAGTGACTGAACATTATTTATTTGTCTTTCTAAAAGTTAGAGTTTTAGACAATACTGATGGTGAGACAAGATGTGTTAGTGGAAGGGATGTGCTGGGATTACATGAATTCAACCCTTAGATCACAACCGTCATACATCAGTAGGCTTAATGGTCTCTATAAGTCTTTGTGAGCACTCATTTTATGTCAATATTCTGATCGAAAGTCATATTTGTTGCAATTTAACTATGTATGTTTTTTCTGACGACTTTGCGATCATAAAATTCAACAATCAATCAAAGTCCCAGAGCAGAACAGGGAAGCATTTATGAGATCGAATCACTGCTTTAGGCTCGTTCAGTCTCACAAAACAAAAGGAAAATATGTAAATGAGAACGACTAAATTGTTGTCTGGAAGTGATCAAAATAAGTCACCCCCCTTACCAACTTTTGATTGTTATGCAAAACAATGTTGTTTTTCAATCGAAAGGTGAAAAAAGAAGAATAGATTGAGACGTTTTCCTGTTGTTCAGAAGTGTGGATGGACCTAAAAGAGGATTTAAATAAAGATGGCGTGTATTGTGATCTCCGTCTAAATGTGGGTGGAACTGGTTTTCCTGAACCAGAAAAGTTGCAGTGAGTTCTCCCACAGCTGTGAGTGAGGGGCTGGGCTGCTGTGGGGAGAAGGGGGACATCTATCCATCATGTTATATTTGACACCTACCTGCCGACTGGATTCTAGGGTTAGGGCATGGATAGGAAAATATTTTTCAAATGTTAGTTTGCATAGTTTGGACCTAGCTTGATCTTTGTCAGTGTTTTCCCATAGATCCCTGGCCTGTGTGGCTGGTGTTTGGAGATGAAAGGGATACTAATGGCGCATTTCCACTACACGGCCTTCATCTGAACACAAACCCCCCTGTTGGTCAAAGTGTGTAAAACAGGCAGATTGGACATCTCAACAGTGTGCTCTATCATCTCATACCGAGTTCCCAATGAGTAAAGCCTTAGAAAATAATAAATAATAATAAAATAAATAAAATAAATAAATAAAATACATAAAATAAATAAAATAAATAAATAAAATAAAATAAATAAAAAATAAATAAAATAAATAAAAATAACTCTAAACAACGAACATAAAATTATGTTAACAATATTGTATGTATTCCAGTTTAATGATTGTGATTGAAAAGCCTAAAGAGGCTGGTAAACATTTTGAAGAGGGATTTGTATTCCTTAACAATATTCGTAAACTTAACCATGTGGTAGCCTGAGAAAGGCTAAACCATATCAAAGACTACATTTATTAACTACATTATCTAATTTAGCTGTAGCTTTTATAAACAAAAAAAAGACGTATTGGCCAGTCGTTGAACCGTTGAACCAGGGACCCTGCGGTTGAGTCAACTGCTTTCCAGCTGAGCCACAGCACACTCACTGA